GTCTTCTCCAACATGTCACGCCCTTCCAAGCCACTCTGCCTTTGCACACATCGCTCAGTCTGCCTGGAATCCATCCCTCACCTTTTCATTGTTTCATATAAATTCTGGGGGAAACTTTCTGCAGCTACGTCAACCTGATAGGCACCGTGCTCTGGCCTCCCGTGTGTATTTCTCGCCTACTTCTGTGTTCCTAAATTGTGATTGCTGACTTGTCCAACTCCTTCACTATACGCTCCTAAAAACCAGAAAAGGCGTCTTATTCATTTTTGTATTTCACACCAGCATAAGGCATGCCCAGAGTAAGAGATCATAGCGTATCTGTTGAATAAGTGCACATTTTTCTTTCATAGCACACAATGATAGTACTGTTTCCTGTTTCTGCATCTATCTCGTCACTAGTCTGTGAGCTCCTAGAGGATAAAAACTGTACCTCATTCATCTTTGTGTCACCAGGCCCTAGCACCATGCCAGATACATAAAAATGACTTGGGAATATTTGATGGATGGGTGAGCAGAGATCATCTTGAAATGTAATCCATCAAATGCTTTCTAGAGGAGACATTTTATAAGCTGGATCAAGGCTATTAGAAGCAGGAAAGAATGGGTTGCGTTTGAGATAGAGAAACAATTTAGAGTTAGAACAAAAAGTAAAACAGGTGTGTGAAACAAATACAAATCTGTCTTTTCCTTGTGGGTCTTGGTGGGTGGGGGTGGGGGGCGGAGAGAGAGGGCACATGAACGCTAGAGAGACCAACCAACTTAATGTATCTGGAACCAAAAGATCTTCTCATGAATTTTTTTAAAAAAGTATTTGAACAGCCCGCTCCCCGAGGCTCTGGTTTCTCATGAGTATCCGCGCATTTCCCTGGGCACCAGCTTCATTTCCCTCCTGGCTGACAGAAGACCGTCCGTTTGTGTGTGGAGCTTTGCACTTTTCACAAAAGGCTAGGAGCCTGTGCGATCCTTACCATAACCCTGCGGGGTGAATCTTACAAATGGGAAACCGAGTCTCAGCGATTAAGGGATTTGTTCAAGATTAATCATTTGAGTTTCCCCAGGCCTACTTGCCTGTGCGTATAGGTGGGATTGTGGTAGTGAAAATAACAAAGATTTCACCAGCTCCTGAACCTGCTTTCCAAGGCCAAACCTCCAGCTGTCTGCAAGTTTTTCCTTTGAGAGTCGTTATAGAGGTTCTCAGAAAAGCAATCTGGAAGATTCTTACACTGAAAGGCCCCAAGGAATCATGCCTTTGCATAGCTAAGCCTTTGTGCAGTCCCCTCCCACACAGGCTCTGGGCTTGGCTGTTGGGACATCAGCAAGTGTGATGCGGACAGAGGCCTGATAGGTGCTTGTGCATTTGAACTTGCCCTCTCTGGCTGCTGGGGACTCTTCCGCCACCTTGTGATAAAGTCTGTGGAACCGAGATGAGTCATCCCGGCTGAGATTCCCCTGTGTCAACCAGGCCCTAGGCACCCTGCCAGCTGACTGCTGCCATGTGAGTGACCTCGGTCACGTGAAGAGAAGAATCACCCAGCTGAGCCCAGCTCAGATTACTGACCCACGCAATCGTGAACAAATAAAATGTGTTGTTTTTTTTTAAGCCACTACTTTTGGGGTGTCTGTTACACAAACAATAGATACACTGTCCTTTTATCTTACTCTGCTCCATGTTTCTTTCTGATGGTCAATGCCTCTGAAGTCACTTCAGATGACGTGTCACTATTACTACAACTGCTGGGGGCTTCCTAAGTTAACTCTAATATTTATAGCAAAAGTTCTATCTTGCTTTCAAATTGAAATGGCAGCACCCAGTATGCTAAGACATATTTACACACACTCACAGACACACACACTAACGCCTCAGAGTTTAAAATAAAGTTTGTTATGCAATCTGCCTGCAGGAAGGAAATAAAGAGGTGCCCTCACCCGCCAAAGGCAGCTACTACGCCCACACCTCGATCTTTTCATCAGTATTTCAGGCTTTCTCTCACAGACTAGAACACGCAGAGACCTGCTCTGAGAAATATCTCGTAGAGAGCAGGGCTTTGGAATTTTCTGATACTCTGCTAGAGGTGAAGAGATCTCATAAGACTCAGCAGAGCTGGGTCGAGCAGACCTTGTCTTAATATAGCAAATTTCAAAAGCCTGATTGAAAGGGATGCTGACATCTAGTAAAATA